AAAAAGGAGATGACAGATTACTGGGAACAAGTTAGATTCTACACACCAATTCCATTCCTGCAGGCAGCACAACTCAGTATCTTTTGCTGATTTTAACTCTGTGTCCCAAAAAGTTTGTAGAAGCATGTTTATAGATTTAGTTTCAAATTAGAGACAGTGAGCATACTCTAGAAATCTAGCTAGTAGTAAACTTTACCTCTGATGAGATTGCAATGTGCAGTATTATTTGTGTTTATTTTTATTGTTAAAAGTGATGTGTTGTCTTGCAGACCCATTCACACTGGAAGAAAATTCGTAGTATGATCCACTGGTCTCCGTTTGTACAGAACTTTAAAAAGAAGTACCCCTGGGTGCAGCTAGCTGGACATCAAGGTCATTGTTAACTCTTAACTTAAACAGAAATCTTGAATTGAGTATTATTAGTAATTCAGGACTACTTTGGATTACTTTGTTTTTCTTCCCTCTTTGACTGTTGAGGCCAATCTTTGGTAAAAGTGAAGAACAGCTCCCCTAAAAGTCTGTCGGCCTACTGTCAGCCGGCAGTATACCAACAGTTGACCGACAGTTGACCAACAGCAAATTGACTCTTAAAAATTTGACAAGTGTAAAGACATCGCAGTTACTCGACCCTTACCGTTCTAGTAGAATCAGTCGCATGATGTACTACAAATTGAGCTAAAATTGCATCATCGTATGTCCTGGGTAAGTTTATCTATGAAATGGCCCTATAATGCATTGCGGTTTGTTTTAGGATGTCATATATGGACTTTCAATTATCTCTGTCTGTTTGAGTTTACTTTTGGTTAATATTTTTAGTTAGTTTATTATTTTTTTTATGTAGTCACTTGTCAGAAACAATAAAAGCTGCTTACATTCAGTAAAGCAAAAAAAAAAGCTGCAAGAAGCCACTGTAAAGAAATTTTTTGCTTCTTGACTGCAAGGATGATACGATGGGATTGTGAGGGGTTTGGTACCTAAAAAACCTAAACATTGGAGATTGGAACGAGATTTGTCCCAAAAAAACCAAAACAAAATGGCTGACTCAAGTGAGAAAGTTTCATTTCACGTCGATATGCAATGATCTTCCATGCGAGATGAGGCTTTTCTGGTATTCAACAGGGGTTCTCAACCGACACTTGGCCAACAAATTACCGACATGCTGCCAACAGTCGGCTGACAAACGGCCAACAGTCAGCCGACTGTTGGCAGAAGATTTTCTTAAAAGGCGGTAAATGACAGTCGGCCAACAGTTGACCAATAGTCCGCTGACTGTTGGCCAACTGTTGGTCAACAGGCGGCCGACAGTTTTTTGGGGAGCTGTTCTTCACTTTTTCCCATTCTTTCATCCAATGCAGCATATGCCCCTGGTAATTGGTCTGGTTTTATTGTTACTCCTTATGGGCTGATAGTGATGTTAACTTTTGATGTGGTCAAGGCCATTGTGATAACTATTTGTTTTGGTTTATCAACAGTCAATTGAAAACTGTTCCGACTAACAATTTCATATTTGATACTAGTTTTTGTTACTAATACTTTCCTTGTGGAAGCTGTGGTGGTTAAATGATCTGATGTGAATTTCATTTTATGATGTGTATGGGTCATGGAAGAGCTGCGGGAAATTCATAACATTTAATTTATAATGTCATTTTTAAGGCCTGGAAAGTTACAGAAAATTACTGCAAATTACTGGACAGGTATAATTTTGATTTAACAAAGCAAGAGATACTGTTATTTAAAGATTTTTTTTGCACCAGTTGGAAACCATGGAAAAAGTCTGGGAAAATGTAATGGAAAGTCCAAATGAGTATGATCACCATTTTGTAATCAGAGCTTTTGTTTTCATTATTTTAGGGTGTTTTAAACCAGGAGAAAATGGCACAATTCTGAAGAAATCCACAGACAAAGAGAGAGAATGTCTAGAGAGGCTTATGAAAGACATTTTGAGACCTTATATCCCTGAATATAAGAGAGAAGTTAACAAAGGTGGAGAACGTATCCTTTCTCTTAAAAAAAAATGACTGATGGTGTTTATCAAAATATAATTATTAATGCCTTTAGCAAATTTGCAGTTTTATAGTTTTCTACAAATGTAGTGCAGATGTGTACTTAAGAGTGTTCTGAAGGGAATCCACACAGAATTTTTTTTAGTCTTCTCCATGCTGGACAGGTGTGATATTCCTTCCAAACTTTCAGACCATTTAATAATCATTTTAAACTGATTTGCTTGTTTGTTGGATTGCCCTTGACAATCTGAAGGGTATCTTGAAATGCAGGATCTACTACAAGAATTTGAAAGTCCTTCAGTCATGGACTGTAAAATGGGAATAAGGTACAGCTGTACCACTTTGCCTCATGCTTTTATCATAGCCTATTAATCAATCTTTTGCAAAACTTTACATGTTTTAGTCTAGTTCACTAATATCAGAAGAGGGTTAGAGAATGTAATTTCATGTCAGCACTATTTATTTCTTGAATTTGCTGAATGTGATTTGTTTTGGCACTGCATGTCTGGGGACTCTGGACAGTCAATTGTTTCACCATTTGATGTATTTTTAGTGGCCTTGGAAAAATCAGCTGCTCTTGACAAGAGCTTGCAACAAAATAATATCATTGACAGTTTTTGGCACCCATCAACATCAATACATTAGCATAATTATGTGTTTATCAAATACTGCTATATTAGACAATCATGATGAGAAATTTTGTTATAAACTGATAAATTAATCATTTGAAGCTTTTCTTGGTATTCAAGATTTTACAATAATTGTTTGATATGTTCATTTTTGTGAATAGAAATCTTATTTGCTCTCTTTTACACTTAGAACATATTTAGAAGATGAACTGGCAAAGGCAAAGTCAAAACCCAGAAAAGTGAGTACCACGTACTAACCCATTTACTTTGTTAAGTTTAGGGGGGGGGTGGTTACAAGTCTTGTATGCACATAGTTTAATGGACTTAGAATATAAGGTGCAAGCCTGAGCACTAGCAGGGTCATTGGTTTGTTTTAGGGGGGGGGTGGTTACAAGTCTTGTATGCACATAGTTTAATGGACTTAGAATATAAGGTGCAAGCCTGAGCACTAGCAGGGTCATTGGTTTGTTTTCTTGGAAGTTGACAAAGTTTTGGAAAGGTGATTCTGTGGTGGGCTACCCTGTGTTGGACCTGAGCCATCCATCAGACTCGCTCAGCTGTGTCTCCCGAGTCCATGACATTTTTGATAACTACCATTGTTGATGAATATTGTAGTTGATAAGAGTTAATAACACACTATTAGTAAACCATTGTCAATTTGTTAAATCAATTACTTTAGAATTAATGAGAAGTGTGTGGCAGATAGTGTAGAGAACTGAAATTTGCATCTTTGGAGTGAAAAAGTTGATCCTTTTTTACATATTCCAATTGGTAGGATCTGTTCCAGAAGATGGTAGAAGTAGATCCCAGTGAACCCACGGAGGAGGAGAAGAGAGAAGGTGGAATAACGAAGCCTCGTTACATGCAGTGGAGGGAGCAGTTGAGTTCAACTTCAAGCCTGGGTTTCAGGATTGAAGGAATTAAGGTTAAAGATGCACTTCAAGCTTACATTGATCTTTTCTTAGCTTCTGAGTGTTATTAGTAATTTTTGATGGTCAAAGAGTGTTTAAAGTCATGCAGGATTGGACTGGTGTTACTTTACTCTCATCTGTGATTGTGTTGCAAAATAACACTCCCTACTATACGGTGGAAAAATATGAAATGTGCAACTCTCTGAGACCTCATTTCTAGTATTCTGAGACATAATTGTCTGAGTAATTTTTTTAAGCAAGACATTGTTGATGTTAGAATCAGTTGAAAAATATTAATTTTTTGTCTTTGATCACAATTCACAAGTAGCTGGTGCAAAATGGTCTGAAAGCCAGCAGGTTTCTGCCACCTATCAGCTTCTAAAATGAGAACCCTGAAAGACCTACAGTTGGGTTACTACCATTGTTTACATTAGTGGGCTCTTCCATTGATGGCCTGAAAATAACTTACCTTATTGTAATGTGAAACCTTCAGTATTTAATCCAGATTTCAATTACAAATAATTTATTTTTGTCTGGAAATATATGTACCACTCTGTCTAATAGACATCATTATATAACTGACTGTTGCATGTTAAGGTTTTTTAATATAATTGTAAGATCTTGATGTTCCCTTTCTTTGTAGAAAGGTGATGAGAAACCCAACAAAGATTTCAAGAAAACAAGAACAAAAGAGGATGTTGATAAAGTTTTTACAGAATTTATTGGTGATGATGATCAGATAAGAGTAAGTATTTTGTAATGGAAAAATCTATTGTTGCCTTAAAGTGAAATTGTGCGCAGAATCAAAAAGTATGTGATAGGATAGACAAGCATCAGCTAAAACTGTTCTTGAATTTGACACAGATCACGGACAGGTTTGAGTGGAACAAGTCTCTCAAGATACCGGCTATCCTTTACTGATAGCCACCTCCCTTCAATGC